TGCAATTAAGTTATTGAAGAGTGACATAATTCTCTCCATATAAGAATGAAAATAAAATTCTCACAAAATAAAAATTGATCTGATACACTTCGGAAAAGTGAACTTTAACTATTTTCTAAAAGATCACGGTTACTTGCACTTTCGAAATTTCATTTAGAGTGGGGAAACTGAATGATAATCCTTTCCAGCTCAATTCATACAAACTTTGTTCAGCAACATAAACTGAAAATGAAACTTGTAAATTCCTAATATGAATTTGTCAAGCAAAAACATTCCTGTATTAAAAATCTTGGGAATAATGTCATAAAAATGAATTGAAAATAGTTTCATTCAAATTAAGAGTAAAAAAAAAATGAAACATGTAGAAGAAAAGTACAACCTCCAGGATGTGTGGCGCCAAAACAACCTTCCACTTTATTTACATCTGCCTCGTCTTTAGGACTAGAGAATACCACACCACTAAATGAAAAAAAATCAATTACGTATTCGCATACAAAAAAAGTGAAGTGTTATACTATTGAATTAAAACGTAACTATTGTAAAACATACCCATACTGCAAGATAATGTTTGACAAGTCGTACACTTCAATCAGCTGAAAGAATGTGTAAAAACAGAATAATAAACGACAAAGTAAAGTAGTGGACCAATCTCGAAAGTTAGTAAATTGAGAACTTTATAAAAATGAAACTATCTTCCTTACCTTTAGCAGCTGCGAGTTAGGTTCAAAATAGAGTCGCACACCATCTTTTGCCAGTCGTATCATTACATCTCTTGATAAAGGTTCCTGAATTTTAATGTAGTTATAAAGCTGACATATGCCTATTTTTCTTGTTAAATTTTGGAAGCGATGCGTATGAGTTACCAAGAATAAATCCATTATTCTAAATTATTCTAAACACCACCTACCGATGGTCTGCAATATTCGTTGATGCTCTATAACAAAGTCACTTAATGCGAAATCAAGCTCTCTTTAGCTAAACGCTTTAAACGCTTTAATTTCCACGAATGAAATGAACTTCTGTTTAGCACAAATGAAGAGCGAAGCAATGTACAGTATATTCCGCTTAAACAATAATGTCAAGTTTACTTAAAATTATACGTTAGTATTACTGCGTAATATTAAGTGAACAACTAATTGGGCTAGGTACAACATGCACTGCTATCTTAGCCAGTGGCAAGATGCTTTAACTCATGTATGTGCACTGACGATGTCACTAAGTAGTAATGTCAATACCTTGGAAGAGTAAGTCAGTTCAACATTCTGAATATGGCGTGATGCATTCTGTATGGCAGCGATCGCTTGATTTATAGGCATTCCCAGAAGTAACTCGATGTAATCATTCCGGATCCCGCATCCTGGCATCACCTCCACTCGCAGCATCCTTCACTCTATGTACGACTTACAGCAACCACAACTCTCCAAGCATCATCTCACTTTCAAATGCCTTCAAGTTCGCAGCCCGTTAAAATGAGATTATTGTAGGGAGAGGAGACGAGCGGATGCAGAAAAGAAATTTGAGGATGAGGTTTGTCTTTCAGTACCTTTTGTAGGGAATCGATTCCCTGCATTTTTCTAGTAGTCGAGATCGGCGAAGAAAGTGAATTTGTTGGAGTCTATTACAGAAACTCAGAACTGTGCAAACGTTTAGGTGTGGATGTCTTCCAAAAGAATAACAGCGGTAGACAACTGCGAGCTTTTATTTTAGGTAATTCATTTGATCCACTATTGTATGGAAAATACCAGGAGATAAGTTTTGTTTTTAGAAAATAATATATTTTATAGAAAACATTTGCAGATCAATTTTAAAAGCAGAAAAAGAAAGAACAATAAGCGACAATCAAGTACGAGGTTTGAAATAAATCGATTCGTCTGGAATGTTAAAAACTTCCGTCTATATGCAATGAAACTTTCCATGAAATGACTAAAGGAAAAATAACAATTCAGGTGGTGCACTGGATCAAAGCAATCACCAGTTATTATATTTGAGACGAGATTGCGATACTTTTCAAGGAATAAGAAAGCAGAGAAATATGAGGTACGAAGTTAGATGAACATGTTATGATGCCAGAAACAGTTTGTTTGCACAAAATTAATTAATTTAGAAATAAAAAATTTTCCATTAAAATAAGAGCAATAATTAAGCCTCTTAGCATCATTTCTTCGTTTCGTTCATTGTGAATTTCCTCCGAGGTATAACGATACAAGAGTATTTCTCTTTACCTTTGCCATTATAAAATATAAACATAGCTTTTTCACTGTCCATGTCCACATAAATAAAACCACCATTCGAGAAACCAATTTGTGAGAATGGATTGAACCCTGTTGGATAGCTGAAATACTTCTGACTTTCTTTTAATGAAAAACTTTTATTTTTTCTATGCCAATGATTTTGTCACCAGCAGTTTTTATTGATCGAAGGGTTAAAGTTGAGAATTTGAATAATTAATTGATTACTTGAAATGTAGTGACCCTTGTGGTACTGTATCAATATGTTTAACCGATCGGTCTGAGCGGGATGCAGCTCCACTAATAACATAGTGAAGTGGGATTTTTTCTGCGTTTTCTGATAACGAATATTCGGTGACAATGTGCTGCAAGATTAGTATTTTGCATACCAGCTTTGCATCACTAATTCAGTTTTTAATATTCACTATCAGTCCTTGTAAACCTAATAAGTCTCTTTAGACTCTTTCACTAGCAGAAGTCAAGACTAAATAAGTAGTGTTTTAAAAGGGCAGAATAAACCATTGCAGAGTCCGATAATCTATTCGAGGTACATATAACAAAAATGTATGTGGATCGATTAGATTTCAAATCTTCACATGGTTTGATCTACTTCATTTAAAATAATTAAATCTTACTTGCAGCGTGTGATCATGCCCAGCAACGTATGCCGTGACGTGATATTTTTCCAAAAGTGGCTTCAATTTTTCAATCAAGCAATTCAGTGAGCCATGCTGGGATATCGAATAAACTGGATAGTGGCCAACAACGAATAAATAATCAGCTCTGCTTTTGAAAAATTCTAGTTGAAAAGAGCTTATAAAATGGAACATGGTGAAACACAGTGAAAAAAGTTTTGATTTTGCATTGGAGTGCTTATTCAGGTTTTGTGAAATGTTTAGACAAATTTGATGAGACTTAAAGAATGAGAAATATTAAGATCATTTTCAGTGTAGAACCTTGAGCGCTTTAACTGCTGTTCAATCCAGTCTAGTTCTGTTTTTGCTGCTGCTGGATCTTTCGGCGCATTTGGATTTGTGTTAGTAGTTGCAAGAATCATGTCAACAAAGTTAGCTTCTGTAATATCCCTTGTGTTACCACAAAGCAAAATGGTATCAATCATCAGAAATTCAACCAGTGTGGCATTCTTCCCGAATGCATAGGATACTTTATAATAATTTGCCGGATATGTCCTGCAAATCGGATATCATTACAAATTCTATTACAGTTCTGCTTTAAAATTAATTCAGTTTATTATTAATTTTTTCTGAGGGTGGTTGCATGATTTATAGCATTCATATTCGTAATTCGAAACACTATAAAATGTACCATCGCTGACTTCGACTTGTATAAGCAATTTGTCCCGAAATATTTCCAAAATGGTCATGATTGCCGGCAATTAAGTACCATGGCTTTTGTAACGCTTTGCCTTTGTACACATTTTCGAATGTTTCCTAAAAAATTTATGGTGTGAAATTTATAGTAAAAATAATAGAATCAACAACCAAAGACCACATTTCATCTTTCATTTAATCCCAAATTATATTATTTATTATTTGACCATTCATTATCTACTTGCTCATGTCTATTAAACTACGATGCTAATGCAGTCTTTCTACAAATTTTTCGAACTTGCCTGGAACCGTTGGTCAAACTCATTTTTCACTCCCGTGAAATAAATATTGTCACCAGCCGAAACAGTAAAGTGGATATTTTTTTCGTCTCCAATTGTGGCCAGTGATTTTGCAACTAACTTTTGTGCATATGTGGTATATGGATAGATAGGCAAACCTAAAATCCTAGTATTAACGACTTAGTGACCGATCAGTAGGACATGGTAAAATATTTGTAAAATAAATGAGTTAGATTAGGTTGTAGAGGTCCAAAATAAAGTTATCTAGAGAGTGAAGAAAAGCATAGAGGAAAAAAACAGTCTCAATTTGTTTTTAGTCAGCGTATTAGGATTAAAATAAAGATAATTATCTACCTCCAGTATCTCCAACAAGGAAAAATCGAAGATTATTTGAATCATTTCTGTAACATATACCGTCGTTTACACAGGCCATTCGACATTCGTAACTTCCAAAACTGCATTCTGGAATATCATTTTTGTATTACTAGGATCACTAAAATTGTGTAAAAGAAATTATTTTTAGTATAAGCATTCAATTAGCAAATGAGTTAGGCAGAATTCTCGACAAAAGTGATCTCGAATTGATCAGTTATTTACCCCATGTTTCTTAATCAATTTCTTACAATAGCGATCTTTGAAATTTTTCATAGAATTAACCATCTCCAGTATTTGCTTCTGTTTTCAAGTTGATCCACTGTTCACTTTTCTGTGATGGAGTAAGTATCTGATGTACTTCAACATTTGAGATCAGCGATCCATCCGCACCACCCAATACTATTATTAAGAACAAAAGTAGTATTGTTAACATCAGCAATGTGTAAAGAGTAATAATTGCTGAAAATAAAGAACCATTTGCTGAAATCGATCTGTTGTAAAATGTTTTCTAAACATGACGGGCTTAAATAGAAATTTAATGAGAGCGTTTTGGCAAGAATGAAAATCTTGAAAAGCCTCAAATATCAAACAGAACAAATGAATGTGAAGTGATTAGCGAACGTTTGAGGGGATAATCTGAATTGGTAGGAACAATTTAATTATGCTAGAGAAGGAACTGAAAAAAATTAGTCAGTAATCAAATACCTCTCAGAAATGAGAAAATGAGTCACTAGAATTGTTGTAATGATTCGTATACAGCACAATACATGAAAAAGATTTGTGATGACGAACGTTTTGCAGTGTTATTTTTGCTAGGCAACATTTGTTCACTCTATGGGATGAAAAAACCGACAAGAGCGACAACTGATGACACTAATGATTCTAGTAAGTATCAGAATACTTATCAAAATGTTGGTAACTTAGCTTTTCTGATCTTAATGTTTAGAAAAATACATCTATTGTTTTATTTCAAATACCAGAAAAAATCTATTGTTTTATTTCAAATACTAATGATTCTAGTAAGTATCAGAATACTTAGGAATGCATTGAACGCACAATGTTAATTTAGTCAAATAATTATTTGTCTCGTCATTATTCTAATAATCAATAAATCAATTAATCGATCGACCAATCGGCTTCAAAGAATTTGCATTAAGGAAAACTCTTCTGGTATTGCCTTCTTCTGACAAATAAAATCCCAACTGCAATACGTGATAGTCAACAGATAAACCAACATTTTTGAAGAAGCAATCAGCTACACAAAAAATTACGTCAAGGTTTAAGATAGTTTGTTCTAATCTCTTTCTCTCTCGGAAACAGCTGACTTTCAGGTCCAATCGTTTCTAACTTAGTTTTAGTTCCAGTAACATCAGTACAACTCTCATTGTTGCAACAGTAATATTATCTATTAAATCGGTTGGTAATCAGGCATTCCGGTATTCTTCTTACTTCCATTTGCTGAAACATTTGTCTCTGTCTCCTTGCAAATAATTTTATGAAAGAAAGAAGGAATGCATCATTCAAATTTATCTCATCGAAAGAAAAAAAGGTAGCAGGAAGATAACGAAGAACCAGTTTAGCATTTCAACATTCGTTTGAATCGATGAAAATTAATATTTGCAGATTGTTTGAAGGAATTCTACATTCAGACAATAAAAATCAATAATGGATGATCACCACTACATCATGGAAACTATTACTGACCTTCGCGATCACCAGCAACAACAAGTCTATTATCAGATGAAACCTGAATTGGACCTAAATTACTTGAAAACATTACCTGGAATGCTAAAGTGCACCTGTATTGTAAGCACTTTATCACTTTGAAAAATTTTCAATATTTTTTAAATATATTCACAGACAATTTGTTTTTGTTTCCATTCTGTGAAAGAAACATTTTTTCCTTGTCAACTATGAAGGCATTCAGGTTGTTTTTTCATTTTAACCTATGTATGAGCAGTTAAGATCTTGAATTAACTCATTTTACAAATCCATTTTCGATCTTTTTCTTGAATCACAGAGATTTTCCTGGTTACCCTTGAAAGATGAATGTTTTCTACCTCATACATTTTTGAGTAAGCTTGAGTCAGTGACTTTAATTTTAAAATGACATATAGTGTCAAACGTGCATCAAATAAAAGGAATGAATGCAAAATTAGTATCCTCTCGACCTATTTCGTGGACTTCCATTTCCTCACAGTTAAAAAAAGGCAATAGGATACAATGAATTCAATCCAAAAGTAAATAATGCCTTCAAGCAGTAAATAGTCTAGTCTATACCATCTACTATTCAAAAAAACATGGCTAAACATCTTTTGCAGATTTTAGATTTCACTTGCTTTATATGTCTGCTAGTTGGTGGTCCTGTTTACTATATTGGTGTCGGATGGATCACCTTCGTTTGCATATTTGGCCTGTTAGTATCACTGATTCTTTTAATCCTTTATTTATTTCATGTCGTGGATCTCTTTCCTCAAATACCTTGGATCGTTGGTGTAAGCCTTTTGCTTTATTTCTTTGGCAGTTAATTTTATTAAATAATCTTTGTAGATTCCCTGACAGTGCTACTTCTATAAATTCCTCGATCTTGCATAGAAAAAAAAAATGTTTATTAGAGTTTGGGGCTTCGAAATTGCACAAAGACTTGAGCAATTTGCAATTACATAAATTTCCATAAGCTTTGGCCCCACTTGCGTTGATTTATTTGGCCATGACTATCGAGGAATCTCTCTCTAAAGGTAAATTCGAAGATGAAATGTTATTAATGTTTATTGATAGATTCTTCTTTTAGGAAATGATATTTTATTTTGCATGGGCTGTATTCTTTTTCATATGTGGTTGTGTGCTGGTTTTAGTTGCGGCACGACTTCATGGTATTACTGGTTACGGTGCAGCTTCGGTACATAAATTTAACTAATTCACATTTATTTCGTTTTATGTGTTCCAAAGCCATAACAAAATAAGTGATGCATAGTTCAATGAAAGGGTTTGCGTTATCATCAACCATACACACAGACTTTGCTGTAGCATGGAGGTCATTTTTATTTGGAGGAATGAGGCTTAAAATTGGAGTTATAGGAAATGGAACTTTTACCTTTTACTTTCACAGTGAAACATTCTGTAGTTTTTACTAATTAGACACTCCTTTCATCTTGTATGTGATAACTTTCCTTTCCTAATCGACGGCAAATTTTCAGTTCTTTTCATTTGGAGCACTTTGTGCTTACGGTTTCGACAGTTATTTGAAATTTCTGGCATGGAGGCATGATGAAGTGGCGACTGGCGGAGCAGCACTAGAATACTTGCCTTATGGCAACACTATGGCATCAAAAGGCCAGCAAAGAAAAGCCACCAATGAGTGAAAGATTCTGCAGCATTTGTAATTTTAAACATTTATTCCAAGTAAATCTTCCAATCATTCAAAGCAACAGAAGAAATTCGTTTGATATTATCCATATAGGGGTTAAATAATTGCAGAAACAAAGTTTCCATCATGTTCTTTATAGATTCTGAGTGAAAAACACCGTGAACTTAGTCGTCAAATAATTTTGCTGAATTATAAAACATCGATGCCACTATAGAATGCAATCATGACTACTATATTCTGATTGTAAGAGTTGAAGAGCGGCAAAAATACAAATAAAAATCGCTCTTTCAAAGCGAATACTCAGTTGCACATGGTGAACTCTAAGCCTTGTGATGATAGCAATGTTCCCAAAACTTATTAATATCAAGAAAAGGATCAAAAGTCAGAGATGTCTTCCTTTGATCACTTTGTCAAGAGAGAGAGGAAAGTCTCTATTTGCAAACAGATATTTTATTTAGTTTCTACATTCATTGAAGAAAACGCAGGAAGGGATGAGTGAAAGGAAACTTTTAGCTAAAGCGAAATTAGGGTCTCAAGAGTCATTTGAGGATGACAAGGAAAGTCTTCAGTGCACTATCGTCCATCACAGTTAGTAAAGTTACTAAGTGACGAAAACACTTCCCCTTTATTTTGTTCTCTATTACTTAACATAAATTCCGAATTATATCCGAAATGTAACCAAACGCATCAGCAAAAACTTTATGCGGCTATGAATTAAGAAAGTAACAAAAAGCAAAGCTAAAATTTTTACAACAGTGATAAGCTCCTCAATTTGGTACTACTTCAGTAATTTTGTACATATACATAGTTCAAATGAATACGAGTATGAAGAAGAATGATACAAATTATGGTTCGAGATTTGACGGTAGAGAAAAAGGAGTAATTTAGAAACAAATCTAATAAAAATATGATAGTTTAGTTAAACACCTGGTAAAAACATTGTTTTAAGATTGGTAGATTTAAAAAAAAAGAAGCTTAGAAATTTGAAAATTACAAATATTCCGAGAACAGAGTGCTCGAGTTAATATGATAAGATTACTAACAAAAATTTTCAAATAAGTTAAGTCTACTACAACTGTAAAAAACTACTCATGAAAATGATTGGTCAGCAGGATGCGGTCACTTATGACCTTCCGCATAGTTCCGGTAAGATTCTATCAATACATAGTTAGCAATCACAACTGAAGTCGCAAAAATAACAGCATGGAAATTACCTGATTACATAAATTTGTAAAGTTAGGAGTGCAAATGGCTCGTCCATTTTCTAGTTTCATGATGGCTATGTGCAAAACTAAAGAGCCAGAACATAAGATTTTCAGAGATAGATTTTCAGAGATACAACAATAAATGATAAAACGGAACACATTAACATGATAAGGCGCGTCCGGTCCATATGTTCAATCATCTCCGGTAGCTTGTCGTATGCTGTTGGAGAATCTACGGGGAACTGTCCTGACGTGCGATATCGATGGAAAATAGTGGTGCCCGTGAAGGATTTACAAGGTTGAATTGCAGAAAACAAGTATCCAGGAATATTCCACTACGGTATTATTACCAATGTGACATCTTCTCCTGCTTATCTTGTCATCAGATGGTTCGTTATTGTTTGGATTATAATAGCATTTCATTGAAGTCATCAATAAAGCTGTGAACATAATAATCATGAAAATAATTCCAGATCGAAATGAGCGCAGTATTTGATTGAAGTCATTATTAATAATTTACTTCCGTGGATAGTAATGCAGACTTCCGTCCCTGATATAGTCGTAACTCCGAGAAGCTATAAATATACATAATGAAGTATATGTGCTGTTGCATATCCGAACGGGATAAAAGTACTCAAATGTGTTTAGACCTTGAATTGGAACTGAAAAAGTTGAGGGGAATGACAATGCGACGGAATAAGAAGAAAAAGTGGTAAATACTGTGCAGGTAATACAGAGCTATGGCTCAGCGCAATACAGCTTAGGGGAAGCTGTAACAGCAGAAGGGAGATAGATGGTAGTTTCCTCGAGAGGAGAGACTCGGGGTGTGAGACGCACGGTGGCACCACCTCGCCCTTCCTCTCCGATCGGTCCGACAAAGTGGGAGGGTATTTGAAGCACACCATTTTCTTCCATCATCATTTATAAATTGTGAACAAAAGTGGTGGGTGAGGCCACGTCCACAGCACACCGAGGAATAGTGCGCTACGGTCATGGTGGTCCGCGCTGTGTGCAAAGGACAGACTCTCGTATCGTTGCCGCTCGATGAGAGTGTCTGCCAGGAATGTGACGACGAATATACGATTCGATTCGATTTATAGGTTCCAGTCGATATTCCATCAAATGATGCACGTGTTAGAATTTCATCATTTGAAATCATTCGTTGGAGGAGAACTGAAGTGACCAAACACATCCCCTTCAGTCCTTCGCTCTTCGCAACTGTCATGAGATGTTTACTGTGTCATCATTGATCCTTTATCACTCACCAATGCTGTTTTATGTTCCCTTACACTCGCGCAGTACGTGAAGAGGATCGTCGGGAAACTCGACACATCCCACCCAGGTGGAATGTGCGACTAAATAAACGTAACGTACAGGTAAGGAGGTTTGCAGCACCTTTGCAGATCGTATTATCAAAGCGATGAACAGGCAGGAGAGGGTAATGCCATATTGAGAAATGGTGGATTCTATTTACCTTACTGACCTAAATGTCTGGAAGAACAATGCATAATTCATTTTAGCCAGATTCGAAAAGTGCTGCTTATAAATGTTGGGGCAATACGTACAACATTAACTCAGCCTTTCAGTTACATGAGAGCAATCTTGATCAATTACAGTTCGAGTTGTAGCAAAATTTTCTTTAATTTCATTCTTTTTTTCTTTAATTTCGTCCTACTATGTCATGGAAATGTCATCCATCTGTGTAACTGTGCATGGAAAGGTCTAAGGATCTTGTCCACAAAAAAGCAAGAAAAGATAGCGAAGGTAATTTTGTAAGTTTTCTGGCTTTAATTTGTAAAATTAATCTTTTCTATTTGAATCTAAAATATTCGATCTTTCTGATGAGCCATAAATAAAAGTAGGTGAAGTACGTGATGCACTTATATATTTTGATTAGAAGCTTCAAGTCAGTATCAGATTTTCAGATTTATGAAATTCCAAACTGCTGTCGTATTACTAATGCACGCAGCGTTCTAGCATTTTTAAATCATTGTTAACTATTATTTCATGCATTTCAGAATGATACTGAGGAGGTATTGATCTGCGGAGTGTAAAAATTGAACTGAGGAGGTATTGATCTGCGGAGTGTAAAAATTGAACTGAGGAGGTATTGATCTGCGGAGTGTAAAAATTGAACTGAGGAGGTATTGATCTGCGGAGTGTAAAAATTGAACTGAGGAGGTATTGATCTGCGGAGTGTAAAAATTGAACTGAGGAGGTATTGATCTGCGGAGTGTAAAAATTGAACTGAGGAGGTATTGATCTGCGGAGTGTAAAAATTGAACTGAGGAGGTATTGATCTGCGGAGTGTAAAAATTGAACTGAGGAGGTACTGATCTGCGGAGTGTAAAAATTGAACACTTTTTGGCATCACAGGTATACACTTCACTGGATATGAGCTCGGCACAACTCTTCAGAACTAAGTATTTGTATGAAACAATTTGTTGATGAAAGAATTCACTAACTACGACACACACACCATCTGTTCATTGCTTGCACGAAGGAAGTAATGCGATTGAGTTAAGGAAATATTTGCATATTAGATAAAAAAAATAGGTAGAGAGGGAGAGAGAGGAGGAAAGAAATGGAATAGCGAATGACACAGTACTTTTGTATCTGTTGCTTACTACCCGGTGAGTGGAGAGTCCATGAGAGGGAATTTCAATCGATCCTACCTTTGTACAGTTTTTTTCTTCACATAAGTAGTGGTATTTTTGATGGTCAAACATGACTCATTAATATTCATTACTCTGGTACTCATGGTACATTGTTGTGTCTGCAAAGAAAAGGAGAAATCTTTGTTTAAAGCAACAAAGTTCAAATAATTCGTTTCATTAAATAAGAAACCATTGCGTGTAATCAGTTATGACGAAGTTGGTAGATGAAGATGACAATTACCCTTTAGCTTCATTAAATTTCTTGAGACAACATAACAGTGAAAATAATGAAAGCGCATATCATTTATGGGATAAAATACACATAAGTTCCCAAATTTAGTGTTTGGAAATATTTACTTTGAAAGTACCATCACGGTTTTATGTTACGATTAAATCAAACTGGTTTTTTTTTTTGACTTTCACGTCATATAGTTTAAATGGTTTCAAAGTTTATTTATAACTTTTGTTTTTCCAAATTTCATAATCTTATTGTCCCTTAGCTCTATTAGGAGCTAACCTTCATGATCCAAATAGTTTAAAATGATTGGATCAATTCAAAGATAACTATTCCGGAAGTATCACAGAAACTTCTTTTGAAGTTTTTTCAAAATTTATATGAAAACATAAAAAATTCTGAACATTGCTGGATGAACTTACAATCAGATTAATTTCTTGCGTTGCTTAAAACATCACACAAATATCTGGTATAACTTACTTTCCACTAAATTTTTGCATTCAAATTTCGCATCGAATTTTTTCGTAGCTTCGATTAATACCCAAAAATAAGTGATTTTAAACAAGCTAAGCATAAGTTCGTGAGACGCCCAATTTCAAAAATTCTTTTATCACAAAAGCCTAAGTACATTAAAATTTTCCAGAATATTTTAAACTAATCCGAACCAATCTAATCAAATGAAATTTCCAAAGAAGAAAAACGTGGAAGATATTCTGCTCAGGAGATTTTTCATTTAACTCTTTCAATTTTCCAGATAACCTGGTTATTACATATAACTTGTGCATATACTAAAGAATAAAAAAGCAGAGAGCTGTCAAGTTATCGATATCGATTAGTATGCAAAAAAGTCATTATTTTCAGAAATTCCAAGAATTCATTTAAAACGTAAAATGAAAAATTGGTGTTTGGTTGTTGAAAGCTTACGATCGACCTTGTCGCAAACGGAAAAATTAAACTGCTCGACTATTCACATGTTTATGTAGCACTATATTTTCCTATGAATTTAAAGGATAAGTGGAAATGAATTAAATTTATAAAATGACAAGTGAGAGGATTGGACAAACAAAAATTATACAGTTACTTGGCACAATTTTCGTTTTATAATAAATAGTCTTCAAATCGATGAAAACTAATATGATTGCAGTCATAGCTATTTATGATAAAAAGTGATAAAAAGTTATCTAACCTCAAATTTGTTTCTATTCTCGCGTTCCCGGCAAATACACCATAGTGCTGCAAATAGGTCAGCTGCTACCATTTCGCCAGCATTATCGCTCACCAAATGCAGTGCCGTAATTGCATCCTAAAATTTTACTTTGAATTCTCTATTCTGAAATAAATATTACGAATCTTTCACACAAGACTACGAGAACTTATCGAGAAGAAAAAAGCAAATGTCTGAGTAGGTTATCAGTGAAAACTTTTCAATCATTAAAAAAATTCTCTTTTATTAAAAAAAAAAAATTAAAAAATCTTTTCAACATAGAATCGTTCAAGTGGAAATAATCAAAAAAAAAAAACTCCAAAATATGAACCTTTCCAGCTGAATTATATAGGAAATAATCAAGCTCTTCTTCTGATGGTTCAATGTTGTGAAAAGTCTGGAAGCATTTTACAATCATGTAAATCAAAAATTGAACCAAATTGAAATCAACTTCTATAAAAGCATTTTCAAAATTGATTTTAATCACTACTATCTCAACTCGGTCGATGTTACTTAAAATATTTTCAACATCAGATGGAAAAGACAAATATTGCAGGTTCATTTTCTGTCATTCACCTTGATGAACCAATAAAAATAAGAATCAAGAAAAGCTTACCAAATAACATGACACGAAGTTTCTAGAACAGATGGGAACAAAAGTTATTATTGTCCAGTAAGCTAAATTAATAATTGTTAAAAGGCCCAAAGCCATCAGCCAGAACCATAAGGAAAGGAATATTTTCTCATTGAACACATTTATCATTAGAACACATTGAACAGTTTTCCGATTCGTATTACCGATTTCACGAATTACCACATCACAAAAAGTAACCTCAAATAGGTAACATCAAAATATTATTAATTTCAGGCAATATTTTATTTGAGAAATTGTAAAAATTTCATAAAATTACCTCAAACTTCTTCACCATATAACAAATAAAAATTTCGAATTCCAAATGTATAACAAACCCTTGGGAAATTTCCACTAACGGACCATTCTCTACCATTAATCAGATCGTTGAGTATTCCAAAGCCCCACAAGTGATACTGCATACCGAGAAAACAATTCAGCAAGTAAAGTTGCGTAATGATATTTAGCACATTCAAACATTTGCAAAATAAATACAATGTCGTAACATAAGCTTGCCGAAGTGGTACTAAAAAATTTAAAAATTTTTCACTACTCTCAAAAATTCATTTCATTTTTCATTCTAAAAGTGTAAAACTTCTAAGACCAAGGCAAGGCAGGAAGTAAAAAGTTGTTTTAACTTTTGTACTGATTGCTTTCTAACTCACAAAATGTTCTGATACTATTAGGCTTCCCATAATGTATCCTTCAGCTATTGTCTCACTACGATATAATAACAATGCAATGCAATAAACGTGATTAATTATTATAGCAAGGTGTTAATATTTTATTATGTGCGCAATATGACATCACAGTCAAGATCAAAGGAACTTCTGATAATGGCAAATTGAAAATCACTGCATTCAGAGGCGTAATAGTTATCTATTATCATAGCTAATCACAATCGACATATCTGAACATTTCCATAAAAGTTGGCATGCTTCAATTTCTATTGATAACATACTTATCATTCGAAGTATATTTTTGCATACTCTTTTTAATGCGAAATTTGAATTTCACAATTATATATTAGCAACAAACTTTAGCACTTTTATGTTAATTGAGACATGTCAGCAATTGCAGCATTCTTGCAAATTATCTCTTTAAAGATAGAACCTAATCTAATTTAATAAAACGCAATCTCATCTTACTCACATATCATGTGATACAAAATTTATCACCTGCTATAAGATGGCAATTTTTTTTGAAAAAGTGTTTCATGAGTAGCTATCAACGATTCGATAAAAAAGGATCAGCCATGTTGAACGAATTTTATGTCCAGTCATAACTTGGTCTTTTTTTGAAAGGACTTTTAAAATGTGTCGGTATTATTTTCATTAGTCTCTTAGTGTCTTTCACACTAGCTATTAGGTTCAAGACATTTGACATCCTATTGATTACAAATTGTTCTACATGGTGATATTTTTTTAATATATTTGTCGCTGTAAAACTCTCATATGACATCTTCCCATATTAGATAATATACCTGTATAATCACACTGTCAGAAATTCTCCATTCCTCAACCTATCATTTAAAATTCACTTCGTTCTTAATTGTTATTTTTTCTCTTTCACCTGCTTTCTTTCGAGATCATATAGAGTTGGGATTTACATATTTCATTGTTCGCTCCCTCAATTCCATATTTACTTATACGTGAAAATAAGTTACCCAGCAATTTCATACATTGATTTTTCCTTCTATTAAAATCCATCACATAAACAATTTGTTGGGCTTGCGCAAATGAATCCTCTCGATTCTCTGTTCTCTGCAACTGATAAATTAATGAAAAAAGTCTAAAACTTCACAAAATAATTCTATAGAAAAGACGATTTCACTTGTTTCAAACATCGTTTTTTGTCCACTTTTCTGGTCAGAATGGCTGCATCAACAATCGTTTGTATGTTTAGTCCTGCAAATATAAGCTTATTACTATTGGAAAAATTGTATTTGCTATCTTCCAGTCCTAAATTACACGAAACGGGGAAAACGTGCGCACCTGTGCGCCAATTGAACATTGTCCAGATTGTGCGAGGGAGAAGAAATAGTAAGGCTTGTAAGATAAGAATAAATGGTATCCACTGATAATACTGTATTTTATGTTGGTTACGCTCAGTAGCATTCTGAAATGTCAGACAAAAGACCTAACTCACGTACAGTTCACCAATCAATGAGGAATTCGGTGACACCAGCTTAATTTGAAATGGAAAAAAAGTAATTCATTTTGACCTCCATTAACACGTTAAATGCAAATTACCATAGGGATATCATCCGCGAACGGTACAAAATAAGTATTTTCAATAAAGCAAAAATTCTCAATGTATTGTTCCCAACTATCCTGAAAAAGGATAGTTACCGAATCATCATTGAGTGAATAACAAAGATTTCATCATCTTAATTTAGTAAACCATAATTAAAACACAAAGAGTTAGATCAGTCTTTGTAAGTTTTGCCGTGAATTAGATTGATATAATGAAAAACTGCATAAATGATCTCAGTTAAAATACAGTTCGAGGTCACAAAGGTTAAACTCGGAAGCAAATTCTCATGAATTGATTTGACCCTAATCTTTTGAAAATTGCCAGATTTACTGGTTCGAAGAGGATAATAACAGAAAATATAATGCGAATATCATTTTTTCTTATTGTAAGACAGATACCAACGATTTAAATAAATCTGAATCCATTAATTCATGCTATTAATAAAAAAAATTCAGAACCTGAAATTCAGCCGGCACCCAACATTGTAATGGTTCTCCAACATACTGTTTTGCAGCAACAGTTATCGCACAAATTAAAATCATCATATTAGTGAGTAAATAGTTGCATCTGTCCACTATATCGTCATCGTATTTTGGCTTCAAACTTTGTAAATATTTATCTAAATTTAACACATTTCTTTAGCATTCTCAAGTTGGCTAGTTTAGGAAGAAATTATATTAAAGCAATAAGAGCTATTCAACTTTCCAGGTTTCAAATTCTTTTTCCAAAGATATAAAGTGAATAAAAAATGCTTGCTAGATTTCTATGAAGTAAACGGAGAAACAACAAAGATGAATATGAAATCACACCAGTGGAACTTATAATTAACTTGATGATTAGTTTTAGAAATGAACAAAAACAAACCGAAACTTCGAATCATACTTTCGAATTTTAAAAAGACAATCAGGTACTTCCACAAAATATCTGGAAAGCTGACTAAATTTATAAATTAATGAACCAGACTTGCACTATAAGTGTAAGGAAGTCAATGAAAGAAGACGAAAGTAGCAAAAAAATTAACCTAATAATTTTTATTTGAAGGTGCTCAGAGAAAATTTGCTCTAGTTCATTGAAATCTGATTTAATAATACGGTTCAAAGTATGGTTAAGAAGGGAAATTATCGTTAGCGATTTTTAATGACTAACAGAAATTTTGATGATAAGCAGCAAATTCGAACGATTTAGTTATCCCGACTATAACTGAAAAAGAGATCAGATGTATAGATAATAACGCAGCACAAACACATTTCCCGTGGCGTTCATTGAATTTTAATCATATCATGCTGATTCATAAGTCGGAACATCAAGACTTTCAAGCAACCACCGAACACTTGCGTTTTTCCTGAAATGAAATTTTCTTTTGAACTATTAAAACTACACAAAAATACATTCACTATATCCTGATATATTAAGATTAGATAACTACATATACTTTAGATTTAGTAATTTCTATGAATCACACTTGTCACAAATACGAAAAAAAATTACACAATTCGAACCAAATTGTAAATCGACGAGAAGACGTCACTGTCTCTATTCTTATCTGTGTAACTGATAAAATAGTAACAGGTAGATATGATTTTACATAGCTCAGTTATTTGAAAGGGCATTGAGTTAACAATACTTATACCTAGCAGATCAGATTTTGAGTGAAAGAGTTAGAAAATGAGAATATGAATAGTCTTATAGAATTCGAGCAAAGAGGTTAAAACGCATGAACTTCTTAAATAAAAAGCAAAAAATGATTCTTTTCAATAAAAAACAGAAAAAGTTTTTTAATAGAATGATTCCAAACTGATATATGTTAATTTTGCAATGAATGTAATAGATTCGTTCTGTATATTTTGGATTTAGATGCTTCTCCAGGAATTCTAAAAATCAATCAGTCAGTAAATGTCAGTTAATTCTGCAATACAAAATTTAATAAGAATATTGCAAACAGTTCTTTTCTAAAAAAGTTATTGTTCAGCCACGTAATGGTTAGGTGGTTGAACGTGAATGTTTAAGTCTAATATCCTAACAAACAGAAATAAAAAAAATAAAACTTGTTCTCTTATTTGATAAAAATTTAATTGTAAATGGAACCCACCTTTGCAATTCGAAGTGTATGATCTTTTTAACTTTGTTGATTACTAAAGTGCTTTCATACTGTTTTACTTTCGAATTCAGTGAAAGTACTTTCATATATGTAACAAATAATCATAATAAATGTACAACGAAAAATACTCCTCAAAAAAAAAAAAAAAAAAAAAAAAGTGAAATAGCATTGAAACGTCCATATTATGCCATATGCTCCGTCACACGCTGATGACAATTCCGTATCCACCAAATTTGAATTTATTTATTGAATTTTTGCATATCTTTGCTGCCGATCAAACGAATTGCAGGAAATGGACATTTGTGTATTATTGCAAATGTACCACATGTCAGAAAAACGAACTTTGTTGCGATTTAAGGTTAGGGTGTTAGGTAATCTCAAAAGTAATTAATTATTTCAGCTAATGAATCATATAAATTTAATTATTATGCACAATTAATTTAATGGGATTGAAGTTTTACCGCTCAAAACATAACAGAACATGATAATGATCACTTCCTTTAAAATGCATTTTTTATTTTGAAACTTCAATTTTAATCGTTAATTTGACATCATTCGTTAATGATCAGGAAGTGTTTCGTTTAGAGCAGGCACACTTTTAAACTAAGATCAATTTTAATTAAAGATTGGTATCAAGCCTTCGTTAGTGGGAAAAATTTTTCTTGGATTTTCGTGACAAGTTTCTTTATAGGGAGAATAATGATGCACAGAACAAAATCTTTTCAGTGATAATTGTTGAAAGGAGTTTTCAGCTTATAATCTCTAATTTATCCGACTCACAAAATATGAGTGAATAATTTGAAAAACATAATAATTAATTTGGTGGAGTAGTGCAGAAGAGAAAAGTTGCTGTTCAGTATTTGTTAGAATGTTTTCCAAGATGTTTCCGGTAAGTGATAATACTAAGGTATGAGATAAAGATACATACTGAGGCAAGAGATAAAAACCAATCTAGTGATGAAAATTTCTGCACCAAATCTTACAGATACTTCACTCAGGTATTGATTTCCTTTGGATGATTAACCAGTAAAATGAGCATTACTTTGCGATCGATCTGAGAGGATTCTAAATGCACTGATAAATTATGGAAGCTCGGAGTAAGTGCCGTTATTGCTGGTTTGAATCAAATTTGATTCACATTTATGTGACATATTTACAAACTGATGGATTTAATGAACTGATAGTAATATGACAAATTTCTCTTGTTCATTCAGAATGTTAATGAATTAGTAGCACTAATCACTCTCCTAACGCCTATTTTGGGAGAACAAAGAGTGATAAAGGAAGCGAAGGGTGTCACCATCATCGAAAATAAGAATCATGACAATTTCCATCGGTCATTTGTTCCTTTCTGGTCATATCGAAAAAATGGCATTAAATTGTAATTTCTGCAGTTCCTGGAAAAAATTTCTTTAACCTACTATTTGTTATGTTGGAATCATTAATGGTTGGCGTTTTTATGTAGTGCATTTAATTTTCCTGAAAGATGCAGTTGTTGAAACAATTTTAAAACTTTGTTCTCACCATACTTTAGTTTTCCAGGCTGAAATGAGGAAACTGTTTTTTTTCTTATATTTTTATTACGAATTTTTGAAACTTCAGAGACCAAAAACATTTCAGATCTCGGATTTTTAAAATGAACTTTGGCTTATTTTTAAGCACAATGATGTAGAAATCTTCTAAAACGTCTATTTGGAACAATGCAATACTCTTTTTAGATATTTACGTGACATACGTATTTATTGTATTGTACTATAGTTAAGTATAAGTCATAAAAGGGATTATATTGGTGAAGGTCATCGAGTATTTCCAAATCTTATTTCTGTGAATCATATCGCAAGAGAAATAGCTATTCACCACTTAGATTATGGGCCTTGTCACAAACGTCAGTATAGCAAGTGCCATTTCCATAATAGTTGTACTGACATGTGTCATTGCTTTGACTCATCTGGTTAATGATTTGAACTCACTGTACGATGAAATTATGAGCGACACTCAAGAAATTAAGGTATTCAATGTTATTTTGTAGTTTTTTTATTGATGCTTTTTGTGATTACAAAGATGGTTATGATTACAAATTTGTGATTACACAGATGATTAAAATCATATAAATTTCAAATGTTATTTTATAATAAGAACTAATCAATCATAACAACGGTATTTCATGCAAGATCACAAGGTTATGAACTGATTTGTTGAAGCTTTTATATTCGACGGAAAAATTGTGCAGAACTAAAAATTTATCTCAGAAATAAAGCATTGCAAAAATGTTCTCATTCAGTGAACATTTTGATGAAAAATGAAGACTGGGACATTTGTAGATGACAAGCAAATACTGTCAAACTTGAAGGTCATTAACGAAAACACATGGAATGGAATGTTGCAGTTGCGAGCGCGGAAGACATCCAGAAATAACACAAGCCGACCAATTCATCAATTTTTTCTGCGCCGTAACCTGAAGGCAAAAAGATCTTTTGCTTCACAACAGTGTGGTAAAATGGAATTTTGAGACAATATATCTGTTTTCTGGTAGATTCAAAACACAATGAAGGCTGTACTAGAATTTCAATCATGATATTATAAAATAGAATTAGTTTCTTGTCATTTCGTGCTGAAATTTCAGAATGCGGTCAGAATCCCAACAATTGTCCACGTGGTAAACAAGGCCTACAAGGCGAAAAAGGAGAACTAGGAGGTCGACTTTGTTTTATTTCAACACAGGGTATTTTCTCTCTCTCTGCTAATCAGGACTATTTTATATGCATACTGTTCCAATAATTGTATGCAGTACTGATTAATTTTATATTATAGAGCCGGGTGAACCAGGCACACCAGGGCTCCCAGGTGTTGCTGGTATTGTCGCTGTTCTAAATTTGCCGGAGTCAGGCTGTGTTCAGTGCCCAGCTGGACCGAGTGGACCACGAGGTCCCGATGGACAGCCAGGTAAAGTTGGCTGTCCAGGCAAACCTGGAATTGACGGAGTGCAAGGAAGAGATGGAATTCCAGGACTTCCAGGTCCACCTGGTGATGCTGGAGAACCAGGTGAACATATTCCAAAAAGCAATGTGTACAGTGAAAATTTGAAAGAAATAAGAAATTACGAGTTAAACTTTTAGGTAAGCAAGGTCAACCGGGACTTGACGGCTCACCGGGAAAAAGCACTATAAGGTATATTCCGATACCTGGTGATCAAGGTGCGGTTGGTGAGCGTGGAAAACCTGGAAAGCCAGGTGAACACGGAAGAAGTGGTTTTCCCGGAGATCTGGGTGAAGTTGGTTCTCCCGGACCAGAGGGCTTACCTGGAAACGTCGGTATATCAGGTTTACCAGGAAGAGTAAGTTTTTATTTGTGAGTGAAAAATTTGAGAGTTTTATATCCGTTTGATTTCTTACTATTTTTTAAGAACTGAAAATTTCAGCAAGGCGAACCTGGACTACCTGGACCTGAAACATATTACTGCCCTTGCCCAGTGTTGAAGATATAATATTTAATGATACAATACGCTCCTTAAAAAATATACTGATAAAAAAATAACCTGAAGATGTGGATGATACAAGGAAAAAACATAAAAAATGCTAACATTTATTAGTCAGTATATAAATTCAATTCAAGTTTTTAGCATTTTCATATAAGAAATTAATTTTTACCTTAGTTTTGAAAAAATTAAGAAATCCTTGAATAAATTTACAAGCTTTGATTGAACGGAAATTGGAAGAGTTAATAAGACAGAAGGAAAATTTGTAAAGTAGAATATCAGCCATCTAAAAGGGCGTATGTGCGACAAGTGAAGATATGGGAAGGGTTGGGTGGATATCCAAAGATATTTAATTGTAGAATCCCTAGCGTGCAAAAGACTGCCCTGATCTTATATCATTATCATCTTACTAAGGACTTTGCTATATTTTATGTAACTATTAAAATAAAATTCAAAAGAACTTTGAGAGATAAGTATAATTTTCGTATACCAATTTTCATATACTAATTTTATAACATACTAATTTTCGACACAATATAAAATCATTGGAAAAAGATTATTGTGAAATTTAATAACTGCAAATTTCCTGCGATCAAAACAGTCATGGTTGACGCTGATTCAGTTCGTATTTTTTTCTTCATTACGAAAACTTAAATTCTATTTTTTGTACTTATCTCAAATTAAATGTATACTAGATTTTTTTCGAAATCCAAGGATCTTCTGAGATAATATGATTTTTTAACTTATCCATTACCTGCTGACAAAATACATTTCCTTCCTTTTCTTGCACATAAATTATACGAATTAAAATTTCACAGTCATCAAAAATTAATTCAAATAATACAAATTATTTATATTAATACATAATTTCATAGAATTGCCAACACATAATTACAATTTTATCATACAAACAAATGCACATTTTTGGGTCGCTTATCTGAAAGATAGAGAAATTTAAGATCAATCACCACATAAAACTGGACAAGTGAGCCTTATCTGGTCGAACAAAACCGGTAATTTTAAACAATTGTTGCAACTTGTTGAAGCACTAGAAACTTGAAAACAAACCTCCGAGAAAAAATTAAGGCTATCATGAAATGAGGCTAGAATTCAAGAGCTCTTTCATTCAAAAAAAAAAAAAAAAAAAACTTCAAAAAACACTAAATAAAATCCATTTTAATAAATTTTGTGACGTTCGTTTTATTTTGAATTCAAAAAAGATTCTTCGTAGTCAAATAAGAAAATAAGGTAATTTGATTTTTTTGCAAAAATATTTAACGCCTAATTTTTCAAGGCCATATATTCATGGCATCAGAAAATTAATAGATTCTACCCCACAGAAACTCTGTTAGCTAAAGTTAAAATTCATGCTAATTCCAATACCATAATATTTTCCATAAATCAATAATATTACAATGATGTCTCATTTTCAGCAAAATAATAATCATTTTGATACGTTGTTATTTTGATCGATTTTGCCTCTTTTTCGATTTCCATCGATATAGACTTTAATTGATTGTAATAATCGGTGCCCACTTTATCGTTATAATATTCCGAACTTTTCATTATCTCTGTTAAGAATAAAAATTAAAATATTAATTGAAGTCTTCCTATCTTCTATTTTCTTATACTCTTCATTTCGCTCAATGTGGTAAATAAGACAAGAATAAAAGTAAAGTGGGTGAGGATTAATAGTACAGTTAACGCTAAAAGTGTAAACTACAATTAAGTGTATTGGCTTTCGGATAACTAACCTGTTTCTCCATTTTCTCGAACAACAACTGGTGTATACAAGATTAATTGCTTGTTGTTTGGTATCAAATAATTTCCCTCATCCATACTTAATTTTGTATGTCCGTCATGTACAGGATCACTTTGATAACGTCCGGAATCAGTGCTTCCCAATCGCTTGTCCTGCTGTATGTTAAGAGAATCCTAAAGGCACTTGCGACATGATATGTTAAAGTACGATAACAAATCTCTGGATATTTCGCATTCAATTTAAGCATATAGGATATAACAAATCCGTTACTGTATTACTTTTTCTCATTGATTCTTGGTGCAGTTTAATTAAGTCTAATCCAAATTCAATCTAGATTAAAGAAAATTATACCAATTACTGAAAATTTTGAGTTTACCAAAACTTATTTTTATCCTACCTGTTGAAATGCCACCCAAGAAGGCGTCATCGGTGACGGCGGAACTGAAGTGGATGTAGCTGTTGTGCTCCCAGAAAATTTAAACTGATCGGAAAGTTCTTCGTTATCGATTAGTCCATTAAAGAGCTCACGCTGATTTTCAAATAGTGCAGATTCCAAGTGCTGTTTGTAATAACGATCCTGAAATAAACTTGTCAACTCATTTTACATACACGACTTCAAAATCATTTCGTGAAGATTCAAGAATTGAAATATAAACGAAACTTCCTTTCTATGGTTATGAATACTAATGATATCCGGTTAAATTCCTGAAGTCCTAACTTCAGACTGTAAAAAAAACTGTAAAAAAAACTGAATCAAACGAACCAGGACATAAAGATGAGGTGCTTTGCAATACTGTTTGAATTTCTCTTTAAGGATAACAAAACTTGGTCTCGATTCAGGATTTTGTAACCAACCTGAACTGCAGAATTTCAACATATAAGAATGGGATATATTTTTCAAATTAACTTTGTTACTTTCGCCATTTCCACTCTCTTCTCAATCATTTCATGAAAATGTAAGAAATCTTCGATGCACAGCGATCTTTGTGGTTGTATTTCGGGGCGAATGCCACATGCTACACTATCATTAATATAATTAAGGTGATAAACCAAATAACTTTTAGATATTGCTTACATTGCAGAAATGTCTGATACACTTCCTGGGCACAGTTATTTGGCTGTTCCAAACGATTTCCAGTTGCCAAATGTTGGCGTATTTGATCGGGCGGTACGCTTTGGAACGGTGTTTGTCCAAATGTTAACACTTCCCAACAAGTAACACCGAAAGCCCAAACATCGGTATAGTGGTTGTAAATCTGTTTCTCGAGACTTTCTAGTGCTAACCATTTCACGGCAACCTGGAATTAAAAATATCGGTTTTCATATTCTTTAATCATGAAGATGAAAATTTGACTTCTTAATTCGAGTAGTTCAGACTGTAAATCAAAGATTCAAGTCGGTTCAGCAATTACAGATGCTAAAAATTGTCATTCTTCAACTTTTGACATATTTCTTAAAATTCTACAATGCAATCATCAAAATGAAAAGATGACTTTTCCAGCAACGATGACTTCACTTTTTCCTTTTTCCAACAATCTGGCAAGCCCAAAATCGGTTACTTCAACATGATTGGTTCTCTTCACTAATACATTTCGCGCAGCCAAATCTCGATGTACTAAACGGTTTTTATAAAGGTATTCCATTGCCTGGAAATAATAAAATGATGGATAGTTTAAAGACAAGAAGAAATTATGAAGTCTTTGTTGTCACAACTTCCCTTCTTCCACAAATAACAAATAACATACCGAAGCAATTTGGTAACAGTATAGTAACAAATCTCTTGCACCAAGTTTTTGTCGATATTTTTTAAGGTAGTTTTTCAAACTCCCAAGCGGTCGCATCGGAGTCACAATTTGCATGCCATCGCTGAGACATACACCAACCAATCGAAGCAAATGTTCATGTCGCATACAAGCCATGATACCTGCCTCTTGCAACATCTCCTGATGTGCTGTGCCACTACCATCGTGAACTACTTTAATTGCTACTGCCAATTTTTCACCTTCATCCTTACCTTTCGGCCACCAATAGCCCTAAAAAAAATTAATTATTGCATCTTTCCAGTCTTTTCATTAAAAATCATTGAAACATTGATCATGATAATGTAAATTCAATCTTAAATTGGAACTCGAACAGAATTAGAAACAATATCACTTTTGTTTGCGAAGAAAACCGCCTTAAAAAAAAAAAAGAAAAAAAGTGGGTTTGACAGAAAACACCGCTCTTTGTTTCACAAAAAAAATTCAATATTTATAAAGCTATTTCCTTGGAAAATAGATTATTTATAAGTCATGAAGAATGAATTATCCAGTAATAACATACCAAGAAAACAGTTCCAAATGCGCCTTGTCCAAGGGATTGCTGCGTTTTTTCAAGATTTTCACTGGTGATAATACAAAGACGTGTCATATTTGGTCTCATGGACGGGTCCGTTTGTTCGTATTCCGGAATGCTGGGCAAGTTCATTTCAAGTTCCCTTTGATATCGTTTTTTGTATTTTACACAGTTTATTGTGATACCCTAAATTATATTAGGAAATTTAGTAAAGCAAAACATTTGAACTGATGCAGTAAGCAATGATTCAGTGTAGCTACTGATGATAAACGAACAAATAAAAACAAACCGCTATAAAAGCAATAAGAACAGCAGCACACAATACACTGATAATGATTATATATATTCTCCTGTAATTCTTTACGTGTTACGATTCAAAACAGTTTCCATAATATCATGATAATTTTTAAAATTGAATGACTTCAGAATTGATATTTTGAACTTATCATTATCTGAAAAGAGACAAAGTTTGCAACTTTTTTAAAGCGTAAGCTGTTGGGTCTGTAACATGACAAATTTTGTCTTCTGCAATAAATGGATGATCATCTGGACATCGTTCCAAGCAAGTCTGAAAGGCATAAGTTTTAACTAAACTTAACAAAATAACATTAATTCTTCCGGTTACTGGCTACTAATATGGAAATAAATTTTGAAAAGTGAAACAATATCATGCTCATATGTTAATGAACAATTGGAAAAAAAAATGACCAAAGGTGAAATGAATTCTAAATTTCAGGAAAAATACGAACCAATTTATCGCCTTTTGAAATGCCAGCTTTGGCACATCGTGTACAGTTTGTAGAACTACGCCCTGTGCAACCCATTGAAAGGTCACACAGTTCATCACATCGTTCACATTCACCGATAGTACTACCTGATCTGGGGCGCACCATAAATGAATCCCTTAACAATACTTTAAATTTCAAATGAATGGTACTTTACAAATTATCTGCTTGAGTAGAATAAAGGCAAATTGGAGAAGAATGAGATTTTAAAATAAAAATTCATAAGATTCCTGAAATTACATTTTGCACTTTATTGTGCAATAGTCGTTATTTGAAACCGTTTTCGTTAAATAATGCGCACATGTACATTTATGTCGCTTTACAGATGTACCGTAACCAGAGCAACTCAAACACTCTTCACTACATTCATCACATTCCTAAAAAAATCTCTTGAAAATTTTACAACTTTTTTTATTTGGTAACCGTTATGTAGCAGAATGGCTTCGCACCATTAATTCAAACTCATTTTTAAGTTGTTGCCTAAAGGACATCCAGATTGGAGAACTAAAAACTTTAAAGATTTGTATGTTTTGATGCTTGTCTAAATTTCATTGCACTTACTCTTTCACCCTCACTTCATTTACCTTTTCTTGCATCTATACTTAATCTGCTTGCAGTTATCTTTCAAAAGGAAAATTTAAACTTACGAATTCAGCAACAAGCATTTCATTAGATGATGCAGTAGCATAGTAGCGAGTTAAGTTATTGTCACGACAAACATCCTTCGGTTTACCTGTAGCATACAAGCATAACGGTTGTTTGCCACTATCAGAGCGCTTTGCATGCTTGCATTTGTTGCAACCACCTTTAGCTAACATACTGCTTGGACCGGTACAACTGAAATTTCGAGGTATTATAAAAGAATACAGAAATATCATTGCTATTCCTTGTCCACCAAAAATGTCAAAGTAAGAAAAGGAGACCTTTTTCAGTCCTACTCCATCAAATAACTTTGATTCAAAATCTATAGTTCAGGAGAAGTTCGTGCAAAAAATATAAATTGAAAAAAGCAAACCCAAAATTATAGCATGCTACATTGCATGGCAAACAAGTGTTGCCATCGACATAATGTGTCTTCGGACATTCCGATATACACTCCCATTTATTTCTCTGCTGCATTCGAACGTTCATGCATGCAATGCAATCTCGTGCTGTTGGTCCATTACAACTTTTACACTGTGGGTGACATTTATGACAGTTTTTGTCCTTGATATAATACCTGAAATACATCGACATATATTAACTCATCAAGTTAAGAATCATTCCTTATCATGTTAATCTTATTGATAATCAGGAAACCTTTCGGGAGGACAGGTAGCGGAGCACTTGCCGTCCACACTGTAACCAATGCATTTTATACACATCTTTGGTCCTTCACCCCAGCATCCATAAATCTTATTACAGGTGTGATGACAGAACTTTCTATTTTTAGCTGAAAAAAAAAATTGTAGCAGCAAGACAGTGTGAAGTAAAATAGTTGTGGTAAATAATCATCGTCGTGATTATTATGATTAATGGGATATCTTACTGCAATAGACATCGTTTTTGTCTGTTAATATCAGACGAGAAGTATCATTCGTTTGCAAGATTTTTTTCCAGTGCTCTTTCAACGAATCTACGTAACAAAGTTTCTCATTTCTTCCAATGTAAACATATCCATTCCTTATCTCTCTTAATGACCGTAATCCAAGTTCGAATAAATTTTGGTTGCTGGTGATTAATAACGCATATCGTTGATTACTAAAATAACGTTTAAGAATGATCACTTAGTGAATCAGTCATCCTTTAAGAATTTCTTTTCTTCAAATATCTTTTAATTATTACAAGCCTTAACTCTGCCAAAAGTCTTCAAAAATCCTTATTGGATGAAAAAGCTTTTGATGAAAAACTTTGTCAGAATTTTTAATTAGTTAAAAATTAGTTTAAAAAAGGCAATTTACGAAAGTTTCCGTCCTTCAATAGTTGAAAGATTGCCAAGGAAGCTCAATGATGGAGGAGAAGAATCAACAGTTTGGATTTCAACAAATTCTGTAATAACTTTCACATTTTTCAGGACTTCCAACATTTCCACTGTTAACCCTGGTATATAGATTGGTGGTCTTCTGAAATTTCATTAATTAATTGAATTATTTATCACAACATTCCAGAAGTCTTAATTAGAAGTTGATTGAGTAGGCAAACCGAAACTGGAAGTCTCGTTTGATTAGATCAAATACTTTCTGATTCTTTGTAGTACTTGAACTGTGATCCTTAGGCGCAATCTTTCAAAAACGTAAGAAATTTTCTTTCATTCTTTCCAGAGGTTAAATTAAAAAAGTTGATAATAAGACAAATAACCAAATGTACCCATCGGTAAAAAATTTTCGATGAGAATTGAATGTGTGGCGCAAAATCTGGATGAAACCTTCGATAACTGTACAGTTTGCTAAACTTCCAATATTGCTCGAATCTATTGGCTCGTCCATATAGCAGGCTGGAAAATTTTCGAAATTAGAATATTCCACTTGATTAAGGCATTTAGAATGAAAATGTGTTTCTCACTTTTTTCCATAAGAGAACAAGATTAACAATTTGGCACAATTACGCTTTTCTCCTTTCACATCTAAGTTAAATGTCTTAATTTTAATTTTTTTCTGTAGTGAAACTAATCTATCTCAACGTCATTTCAAGTTGCATTCTCACATTTATGAAATTAAACTTCGAAACAAAAATAATGTCTTTTGTAATTAGAAAATAAATCTAACAGTTGTATGAAATTTTAATTTTAATACCGCTTCCAGAAAAAATGCGGAAAATTTTACTTTTTGGGCATATTCCATCAGGACATTTCTCACAAACTCGAGTATTTTTAACTGGATCATGCCAATAGCCTTCCGTACAGTGTACAACACAATATTCTCCTTGAATAAGCGTCTCACCTACAATTTTTTAGAAAAACTTATTCTGTGTTTTCATGATGACTTAAAACTTTATATATGCATAGAAAACCTTTTTCTATTTGTTCCCGATCTGAGAATACAAGCATTGACAAAAAAATAGCTTCCTACACTCTACTATCTTGAAGTGTTTTATTTACCTGTCCCAATCTTGCATTAACTTTAACAAAAACCGTTTTTAAAAAATACTTTAAGCATACAGTATAGTTGGTTTAAAAATGAACTAATATGATAAACAAATTCTACTGTACTGAGCATCTTCTGGTATTTTCAAGAGTGACCTGGACATCGCTCCACACAATAACGATCATAGGTGTATCGTGGATTAGAATGATTCACAGTCATTTTCAACTTTCGATCATAGTCTGTCAATCCATTACACTTGTCCACACATTTCGAATCCTGCTCTAACTTAGCACAAGCCTAAGAAACTGATTATTAGTCATGTGCTAAAAAATCTGAATAGAATTATTTTATAGCTAAATTGCTGATTTTCAGGATTTCTCACGGAAATCAAGTCGAAAAGTTCAAAATTTTATTTCGGTAGAAGCCAAAAAATTTAGAATTGTCTTTCAAAGAATTCTCTTAAAATTAATTTTTATTGAAAATAATTCACCAATTATTTTGGATTTTTTTTGTTTACTCTAAATGATATTCGCCATCCTCTCTCATTGCTTTAAAAGATAGCAAAGAGCAATGCGAGAGTTCAGTGCTAACTTTTATATGTAAACATATCCTCAAAAATCCGAACGTGTTAAAAAAAAAAAAAAAAATGTATAATGACAAACTATGCAAGCGCTTTTGCCTTCACCAAAACAACCCGCTGCGCATGCCTCGTCACAGCAATGTGTTCTGTTGTCACCTTGATAACACATTTGTGATGGACAGTCTTTTGGGCATATTTCACGATACACTATAATTGAAAGAAAAAAATTCAATTTTTCAATGAATTTTCAGACATATTCTAAACTAACTTTAAGAAACAATGTAAACTTAAGGATAGAAATATTCTCCAAAACAAGTTATTTCCTTTTCATGCTTGAGGTAAATTTTAAACTATGTTGTAAACAATTGGACAGATTGGGAACAGATAGACCTGTTTGACACATATCTGTGGTCGGTCCCCAACAATATTTGCCACATTTTTCTGCACATTTGCTTTGCGCCTGATCACATTTTCCGAAATTATTCGTAAATTGGATTCGTAATTTACTGGCTTTACCAATAATCTAAATTTTCTTATTTCTGGTAGCCATTTGAAAACTCTTATTGGGTTTATCATTTTTAGGAAATTACTTCACAAAGTGAATTTAAATAACTTTGAATTATACTTCATTGTAGGACACGGTAGTGTTCCAATTGCATAAATATGGATTGTGCATCAACACTATATTACCACGTTCAACACCTGAAAGAAAAGAGCATTTCAGATTATTCCAAATGGATTAACATAAAATATGCAAACAATCTTTCCTTTTTTGTAAAGAAATTAAAAAGAGAGAATAGGAGAAAAAGCTATTGTTTTTGTTAAGAAATGTGATGAGCTGGGTGACACATCTATTAAGTTAATTGTAATTTGAACTTACTTCTCAACTTTGGCAGGTTGACATATTTCAAATTATCGTTGTAACTTATGTCTATTGCTGCTATTTCATCATGTCGCGTATCACCCCAAATTATTTCCAAATTTCGCAACGTTATTTGATTGAAATCATTCGAATAGATTAGCAAGTAACCGGTGATCTAAAAAAATTATTTATAACGAAAGATTGATTCTGTAAATCATGCGATTTCGATTTGTGGAAACAAAATTTTGCTGTAAACTTTATTTCAGGTAAGTTGACTGAATCGATCCCGAAAGCCTCGAAGACAATAAAGAGTTCCTGGCCATTATATGCATGAAATCGAATTCAGTTATAAGAGAGAATCTATTCAGAAGACGAATATTACAAATTCTATGCAAAGCAAAATGAGCGCAAGTAGTTTTTGCATAAACGTTGGTGATTAATGAAGAAGATCGTTTAGAATTGCTCAAGAAGATATTAGCCAATTTTAATAAACACAAATCATAAAGCACCTGTTGGATATGGTCTAAAAAGCTGAAAAATCGCTCCGGATCAGTTCCGTTCAGATCTTCATGTCGTATATAAGTTAGCTCTAGGTTTCCGTAAACTCGGGTACAATTCTGGTATTGTCTTATTAGCTGATTTATCCGATTCTTATCCTGCAGTTCTGTTCGACTATTGTCCGTTCCAGAACAGACTAAAAATGCAGGAAATAATTGTTTCTGAAACTGATTGTTAGAATAGGCAATAAGCTTAATCATCGTTCATTATTTTCAATTTTCATCCTGAATACTACCCAAAGCAAATGATGAAAAATCTCATCATTAATACTGATGAATAAATTATCATTTTTGGGAGAAGTTGGGAAAGATATCATTTTGGAATGCATTCATTGATAAAAAAAATATATTCATATATTTTAATGCAGAATATTTCTGATTATTTTGAGAGCAAATTAGGAATATCTTTGGAAACTGCGAAAAAGCAATATTAAATTGAATAGGTTTTTGGGAAAATATTATTTAAAACTCTTAAACCTAAGCCGAAGATAAGTTTTCGGTCATAAAATTCGTGAATGAGCAAGCTAGCATAGTTCAGTTGAGTGGTATTGGAATTGAAGTTTATTTGTCATTAGTTCAAATCTTAGAATGTTGTGTAAATTCACAGCTTTAAGAAAAATGAAAGTTCTTGTAAAAATCATTCCATATTAAGCGATAAAACGAAAACTTATAAAAACCAAATTTTAAGATAGAAATAAAAAAGTAGTAAAAAGGTTAATAAAAAGCAGAAATAACCTTAGCTTTTTATAAGTATCAGAAAATATCTAAAAGTGGAGGAATTTTTCCAATCTGAAAGCATTCCGGAGTAAAACAAGAAATTTTAATTCTAATAGGCAATGATTAATCTTTTATTGCTGTTAGCGAAACGGATTAAAATGAGAGATTTAAAAAAATAACCGCATTTAGTGAGGATGTCCTTATCATCGCAATTCCTTCGCCAACTTTTACAAAATAACGAATTTACGTCAGTTAGAAAATTTAACGATAGCAGTAGTGTAAGTCTTTCAGAGAGATACTGTAAAGCAGTCATTGTAGTCTCAAAAAGCTTCCGAAGGAAATTGATTTGAAGAAGTTTAAAGCAAGAGAGTTAACATGAAGATATTTTTTGTAACTTGGAAAATGAAGAAAAAAGAGAATAGACCGGAACTTTTCTCTTTACTTTCTTTCTTTTCCTATTTCAGTCAATTTTTTCCGCAATGATTTGAAATTCTTTTAATGAAGCAATAATTAAGTTTACGAGGTGAGAGTACCGTCTCTCAATAAAGTAAATCCTAAAAATAATCATTGGAATGGGCTCGAAATATAATTAACTCTGAATCATTAGTGCATTGGAAAAATATTTAACAATGCATGCTTTCTATTTCTCTCTATATTTTCTGTTCTAGACAAATTTTATTTTCCTTTAAATGGAATAAATTGTTGCTTTTTCAATTTCTAATCTATTCCAAATAAACACTCCCAACTTTAAATTCTCATTTCATATTAACTCAGATGTTGGATGGATTTGATATTAATATGAAAAAAGGAATATAATGATTAAAAAAAAAGTTGATTAGTATAGCTTGCTAACAGTAATCGTTCTTGGAAGTAGTATATTAATTAATATTACTCTTTTTGGAAGATACACTCTTATTTTCAAGTTTAAAGTTTCAAGAGAGGTATGAATATAAATGACACAACTTCTCAAAAATTTTCTATCGCATGTAGCCCTTGAAAGTCACTTTGTCCCCTTCTTTTTTATAATGTGGCAGAAAGAGACAATGTGTAATTTCAAATGGCATGCAGCATTTTAAGGTAGTAGTATATCGATCTGCTCCAATTAATTTAAAGAAATTACAAAAAATTTTTTGTAACTGTTATTGTAGCACACAGAAAACTTAAAAACTTATGAAGGGAGATTAAAAAACTAAAGATGATGATGGGTCAAAACGATTGATTATGTTCTAATAATATTTAAATTCAGCTTATCCATGTATTCTTGCTACAATTTTGGCAAATTTTTTTTCATACTTTTTAATAAATTTTGTGTTAGTAAAGAAAGAACAGTGAGAGTTTTTGTCAGGATAATATTTGTTATTTCATGCTAACATTTTGTGATTTTAAATTCGTAATTCTACAAAAAGTGTCTTACGAGAATAGGAGTGAAACGACGAAAATAAGCAAAAAAAGAAAGTTAAAAAATGAAATGGAAAATCAAATTTTAAAGAAGTATAATTTTTTATAATAATATAAAAATATAATAATAAAAAATATAACTAGAAAAAATATAATTTTAGAAATAAAATAACAAATCGCCTTAATGAGTTAAACAAACAGGAAAAATTTAATCTTTATTAGTTGCTGATAGCATGATAGTTTACATTATACTTTAAACTTGCGTTATTTTTGGCTTTTTTTTTGTGAGAAACGGAAAAAGGAAATAAATAACAAGGATTGATCATGAAAACCGAATTCAATTTCAAAACAGTTCTTAGAATAAATGAAAATTACTGCCCAATTATCACATATTTATCTATTTTTAGATTTGTTCCCTGATATCATTGATAGCATAGCAGTAACCAGTTTTGAAATAAAATTCCTGACAGGAAATCAAATTCTCTGACATTTATAAATACTTTGTATTTCAAAATATCAACATGAGAGACTCGATTTTGATTTCTTGCAGCATTCGGCTAGGTTTTAATACCAAAGAAAATGAAAGGAAAAAAAGTTATTTATTTTCCTAGTTTGCTGGTTTTAATCTTGATTTGAGTTTTGTCATTTAAAGAACAGTTGGGATTAATGCAGTAGTCATAAGATCAATTTCGTTTATAGTAACCAGTTTTAAATTTAAATTCTGCTCAAATCTGTACATTCTGGAACTTTTAAGATATCAAAACAAAGTTTCGACTAACAGTCTCGAGGTTTGCCGTATAAATAATCGATTTTCCTTTTCGCATTTATCCAGTTCAGTATCAGCAATACTAATGAGACTATCAATTTCCAATTGTGATTCATTGATGAATGTACGGGAGGATTTGCGTATGCTTGAAAATTTGTCTAAAATTTACCTATCTGAAATTATTTATTTTTCAGGACTAAAAAGAAATTTATTTTTGGAATTTATTTTTGGTGTAAATAAAAATCTGGAAACGAAGTAACAACGCAAAATTTTCTTAATTTCTCCTTTTACCTTTTCATTACGAAAGTCTTTTTATCTCATTTAAGAATGCTCACCTTGAAAACGATTAGAAATGATAGCTTCCTCGTAAGTTTTCTTTCCAGATCGAATTCATCCGCTACAAAATAAGGATTTACGGTCTTGAGTTATTCAAAAATAAATCAAAAGAAGACGATTTAAACAAGGGATGCAGTAATACTTAATGCTTTATATTAATTCTTTAAAAAGGAAGATTCAAAAATTTTCTTCTAAAGCAAAAACTAGAAAATCTTTTTTATTTAGTTTTTTCTATTCCTGTCAGATTCCTTCCTTTCATTAAGATGATTACTAGTCTTGCAAGTATCGAAGAAATCACTTGAGAATGCTATAACTGTTAGTCAAAAATATGAAATGTTACATAGTTTGCTGTCGTTGTGTCTTCTGCAGTCCCTTGACTGTGTCGTAACCTCCGGCAACTACCCAAGTACCAAGTTGCTAACAATCGAGATAGAGGCAAAGCCGAACGATAGTAGCAGCACTCGAAGAATGAATAATGCTAACGCTCGATGTATAATTATATATATATATATATATGCGGTGGTATATGGATGTCGGAAAATACAGAATTATGAAAACGCATTACATGTGGAGAAGCATAAAAGTTAAAATTTAGTCAAAACTAAATCATTTCATTACAAACGGAGTTTGGATTCTTAGCTAAATGTTCTTCCTCTCACCGATATTTTGATCGTTCCACCCAGTTTATTTTTAGGTAATCCCAAAATCTATTCAAATCTAATCTCTGGAAGAGAACTATAAACTTAAATTATAAGCATTGAGATCGATCCATCAACACAAAAGCAATTTTAAATCAAAAATTTTGTAGTTATTGAAACGAAATAGAAGAAGAAATTGTAACGAAAAAATAGATCCGCACATGATAACGTTCATTTATACACTTATCCTTTTGTTAGACTTGAGTTCACGTTTCGTTCTCATATTTTTGAATAAATATGAGTGTGTTGGGTTAAGAAATTTTAATCAAATTTAGTTTAATTTTCTTTAATTGATAAATATCTAGATTTAACATGAAACAAGCCACAGGTAAAATGAATTCGATCACAGATTAGTCAATACCCGCTGATAATATGTACCAGTCAACCCAAAACTCCTAAGATGAATCTCCGATTGTATAAAACGCAAAAAGTGTTGCTGTCTTAGCAATGTACAAGAATCAGATCCCCACATAATAAAGTTTAAAAATCCTAAGAGAAACACCCCCGACAGAAATGAAATCATCTAATTTAAATGATAATCATATTAAAGCTGCCATATTACCGAGAAAATTCTGCGAGAATGAAGAACAATTCTTATTCACTGCTTATATACAACAAACTATTATGCAAAACTGATCCCATAAAAACGAAAAGATTTTTGAAACGGAAAAATATTGAAGAGTTTTTATTTTCTGTTTAATGTTTACATTCCCGCGTGCTTGCATCTCCTTCGCATTCACTCGTCATAGGAAAAAAAAGGATAATGGTACTGTTATAACTATTCATAATTGTGAAGTGGTTATTTGTTAATTTAAAAGTCATTAATCATTAATTAGGTTAAACTTACTCGGAATCCATAACAACCATGCTAAAACTGTTTCAGTTGTAACATCTTGGCAATATTTCAGTATCTGGTTTCTGCTGTGAAGTTTCCCAACAGATCTGGTAAGCAGTTACCCTTTCTTTTCATTATCGATTCAAAGTAATCATATGGCTCATTCAAAACATCCTTCACCTCAGTCTATCATTACACCTTTGGCATTCATCTGATCAGTTATGAGATAAAACATCACATATTTTCTACGAAAAATTTTTCAAAGATTTAATGTTTCCGAACAGTTTTCAAATGAGCACGTTGATTGTTTAAATGCCAACGCGATTATGATTATTTGCAGAGAATCGATACACACGGATGCATATCATATACATAAGAAATACTGTAAAGGAATAGAATGACGTTGAGATACTTTCTTGACGTGAAAGTATTTGTGAATTTGATGAAGACATTTTGGGAAGGCAGTGAGTGATGCTTAAATGTGTGCAAATGCTTATCAACTTTTATACCTTCCTCTATTCGTGATGTTACTACTATCGCACGTCGTGCAACAGAAATGCTATTAAGCATAAGCTTGCTGTGCAAACATGTCCGAGCGCTATGCTTCCGTCAGTTGATAAGTCCTTTCTTCAGCATTTTTAATTTAATATTTATGACGTGTTACATTTCATTTGTTTTAAGACTAGATGCTTTGTCAGATATTCCGACAGATTCTGAACTCTTTCTTTCTAATTCAGATCTTCCAATTTTATTTTCAATCTAACTCAGTGAACTGACTTCTTTAACGATTATAAACAACTTCTCGTGGTAATTAGTGTTATTTTTGAAATATAAACAATAGATCCTTAAAAGCTTCCTTTACTTTTTTATGAGAAATATTTTGAATTCCTTCCGAAGAAATTACGATTTTTTATTTACTGCGTTTACTATTTCCAATATGTAGTTAGAAAAATTCTCGTTCATAGCTCTTGAGTTTAGTAAACTTTCAATTTTTTCAAAACACATTTTTTATAGAAATGATTTTATGTTGTAGTTTTGATTTCAAGAGTATCATAACTTTTAGTCCTAATTTTGAATAACAGTTGTTTTCTAATTGCGACACCATGTTGTAATTTACAATACAACAACCAGCAATAGCAGCTATCTTCCAAATAAATGCATGCTGAATTCGTGCTTTCAAAGATTTCATGTAAAGGAAAGTTTATTAATTCTATACAAAAGAATTTGAAAAAAGGAAAAGTGTTCTATTAAAATTAAAGCCTGAGCTAAAGTAATCATTA